CTATGACTTTTGTTAAAGCCATAGATTGTGTAACCATCACTAATTTATGGTTTCAAATCATTTTAAATTACCCGTTTCCTCATGCCCATTTGTTGTTACTCTTCTAACCCCTGACCTCAAATCATAATTGGAGTGCTTCTTGTCTATACATTTGCCAACTCAGTGGGATGGGATTATGTCATGTGTGGGCTTGTGTGTCTGGCTTTCTTCCTTAATGTAGTATTTTTTAGATTCCCCATGCTAACAACATGTATCAATAATTTATTCTTTTAAATTACTGAGTAGTATTTAAATGTATGTGTATGTTTGGTTTATCCATTTACCAATTGATGGATGTTTGGATTGTTTCCAGTTTGGGAGCTATGACTAATGCTGCTCTGAACATTCTCATGCATGTCTTTATGTGGACGTGTGTTTCAGTTCCCTTGAGTAAAGAGTCTTAGAAGTACTAAGTTTATGTTTAACCTTTAAGAAATAAACTGTCCAAAGTACCTGTACCATTTTACAAGTAGTTGCACCATTTTATATTCCAGTAATGTATGAGGGTTCTTATTTCTCCATATCCTTGCCACAGTGGCAATAGTCGTGTGTGTGTGTGTGTGTGTGTGTGTGTGTGTGAGTGTGTGTGTGTGATCTCAGCCTCCTGAGTTGCTAGGCTTTCTCCATTTTATATAAGGAATCTGAGCATTTGGTATTCCTGGGGGGTGAATGTATACAGCTGCTTTAGTTATGGTGGGGCATAAAGACCATTGCTATCTTCCACATGTGACTTCTTTTTTTTTTTTTGGGTCCGGTCGTGGGGCCTGAACTCTGGGCCTGGGTGCTGTCCCTCAGCTCTAGGCTAGCACTCTACCACTTGAGCCATAGTTCCACTTCCGGCTTTTTTTTCTTTTTGCTTATGTGGTGCTGAGGAATCGAACCCAGGGCCTCAGGCATGCAAGGCAAGCGCTCTACCACTGAGCCACCTTCCCAGCCCCCACATGTGACTTCTAAGATGGCCATGGATATGGACATCTGTTAGCACAGCAGGAAAGTATGTTGGATAAACATACAAGGAGGGTTTGTGGGTCTGTATGTGTCATTTCTGCTCACACTCTACTGGCTGCAAAGTAAGTTGAGAAGCATATTCTAGCTGTGTTCTGGGGGAGGCAAGTTTTCACAGACATTCAGCCATACTGTCCTCATAGTCTCCACTTGGATCACTTTCTCCAGAACTATTTCCTAACTTAAAATGACTAAGCTGAGTTGCCATCCCACCCGGAATGAGCCATCACACTTGATACCTAGTTCTTTTATAACCTTTAAGGCACAGTAAAATAATTTGGTTATGCATTTTCCTATGTTAGCCTGTTTATTACTTCCTATTGCTGTTGTAACAAATTTCCTAAAACTTGGTAGCCTAAAATAACACTATTGGCCTGATGCCAGTGGATCATATCTGTAATCCTCACTATTCAGGAGGCTGAGATCTGAGGACCATAGTTCAAAGCCAGCTGGGGCAGAAGGTCAGGAGATTCTTATCTCCAATCAACCACCAAAAAACTAGAAGTAGAGGTGTGGCTTAAGTGTAGAGAACTAGCCTTGAGTAAAAAAAAGCACAGGGCAGTACCCAGGCCCTGAGTTCAAGCCCCAGGACCAGCACACACACACACACACACACACAATGTAAATCCACATGGCAGGCAAACTGAGATTTCCCTGTGGTCTACATGAATGCAGAAACCCCGAACACTGTTCCTCCCCAGGTGCTTTTCAATGCTCTCGGTGTCTCTTTCCAGGCAGGCAGTGTGCCAGGCACACAGCTCTCATTGTTTCCCTTTTTGATACCTTCTCATTACTTTTAATTGCATCTGAGCCTCTCTGGCACCTTGTGTTTTGCTTTCTAATCCAGGGCATTTCTCTGCCTCCTACTGGTCCAGCACAGCACTTTCCACTCTCCAGAGAAGCGCCCCCAGCAAATGTAGCAGGTCTCTCATAATGCATTCCTTGCTATAATGAACAGTATAATATCGCAGGCCAGGCATATTTACATAGCAATCTGCACACAAAAGCAACATTACAAAGGGAAGAATTTTTTAAAAGAATGTCATCTCAAAGCTCCATTTCCTATAGTGTGAAGAACACTATTGGAATTATCCTGACAGGAAGACAAAACAACTTCCAGGGATGCTGGGTTAGAGACAATAGCTTTGCCAGGCCCATTAATGTTTAAAGTCAATGGAGCATAAAACTGCTTTTCTCTACTTACAGCCAGGCATCCTCTTACAAAAAGGAGGGGGAAAAATTACCATTTTAACTCTACTGAAATCCATAAGCCCTCCCTTAGTTTTCATTCTCCTTGAAATTCTCCAGTAAGTACTATCAGAATGAAAATGAAACTTGCTCTCTGGGAGAATGGTTTCCAGTTCCGTCAGTAAAGTGGGTGAAGAGACTTCCTTGGAAATGGAGACAGCTGCCTGCTGGGAAAAGTGCCTTCACACAAACCTGCAGAACTGGTTGAGGTGAGACACCGGAGGCTTGGAAGCCCATGGGCTACCTTCCAGACAATCCCTGGTTGGGGTAGACAGGAGGCAGAATTGTAGGGAACAGCCAGCCCATGGAAGTAGTTCCCTTAGGATGTTTTTTGCCTAGTGGGCTGCAGGGGGACCTTTACCATTAATATTTCCAGAGGTAAGGGGGACATGCTGGAAAGGAGCCAGCTCTGTCAGTAAACCACTGGACTTAATCCCACAGTACATTTGTGTAATGCCTGGCAAAGCCTGCTCCCAGCTTCTCATTTGATCCTGAAAACAATCCTCAGAGGTAGGCAGGGCAGGGATTATTTTTTCCATTTTACAAGGGAAAACACTTGTAAACTGATTTGCCAGGAGTCCCACACCCAGGCTGTAGCAGGAATGAGACTTGAATCTAGGTCTTTGTACAACCTGCTCAGGGCTCTTTTGACTCCATACAAGAGACCGATCAAAAATATTCCCAGCCCCACCCAGTCTTCACAAGCACCAGTTCAACCAGCAACTAGGAACTAGTAAAACAGAGCATCAGTGTATACTACCCCACATGCCTCAGCCCTGACTGGCAAGCTCTATGGGGGGAAATAATTCATTTCATCTCATCTCCCTGAACCAAAGACCAAAATTAATTCCTTATGAATTTGAAAGAAATCAAGGAATTAGAAAAATCTAAATTGAACAGAGTAACTTTCTGGGGGCAAGGAAACTAAATTTAGCATGATGTCTAAAGGAAGGGATTTTATAGATTTGACTACATTAAAATTGGTTTTACTGGGGGAAAATGTGTACAGAGCCAACAATAATCTGAAGAAATGTTTGTAGCAGCCGGGCGCTGGTGGCTCCGGCCTGTAATCCTAGCTACTGGGGGGGGAGGGGGGGGGAGGCTGAGATCTGAAGATTGCAGTTCAAAACTAACATAGGCAAGAAAGTCTGTGAGACTCTTACCTCCCCAATAAACCACCAGAAAACCACTCAAGTGGTAGAGTGGTAGCCTTGAGTTGAAGAGGCTAGGGACAGGGCCCAGACCCAGAGTTCAAGGCCGACGACTGGGGGGGAGGTGAGGGAGAGAAATGTTTGTAGCAAAATATGGGAGAAAAGGGTTAACTTCTAGTATGTACTTACAAAAAAAAAAGAAGTTTAGTTGGCTAACAGACATTTAGTTTTTTAGAAATAATAGAAATGATCCCTGTATGTGTACACTGGCTAACATTTACAAAGCTGCCCTACAAAAACTGGCAATCTGAAAAGCAAATCTTTCAATTGATTTCATCACTGAAATATTTTTTTCCACTAATGCTCAAGTTTTCACTAAAGTGCAATGAAGGTATGCGAGGACATTTATTTTACCCAATTCTTGCGAAGTGACTCATGTATTTACCAAAACCCGTAAAATATCCTTATCCTTTGACCTAGAACTCCACTACTGGGAATATGCGCTGAAATAGTCATAAATATGGAAAAGTTTTATGGATAAAAATGTTAGTCCCACAGTCATTTACAGCGGTAAACAGCAAATGCTAAAGGAATTTAAACAATTACAGGCACTTAGTGGAAACTTACGTAATCATTAAGGTGTTTTCAAAGTGCGTGCAGTAACTTGAAAAACGTTTATGATGTAATGCGAGCTGTGTACACTGTGTGCGTGGCTGTTTGTGTACGGTACTTGTACGGGAAAAAAGACTGGAAAGAAAAATATTTTAACCACGGTTGAGTCTCCTGTGATTATGAAAAAAAAAGTTGCCCTCTATTCCCCTAAGAACCTTCCCTTAAAAAAAAAGCCAACTCTAGCCACGCGAGGGTGATTCCTTCACGATGGGCTTGAAAGACTAAGGACACCTCAGAGACCCACCCCCCCAACTGACTCCTCCCAAGGGTCTCCCTTTCCCCCCGTCTCCCTCCGCCCCGCCCCGCCCCGCCCCGCCCCGCCCCCACGCCGCGAAGCCGGCCGGCGGGTGGAGCCGCCCCTCCCCCGCGCCGAGGCCGGTGAGAGCGCGGGGACCAGACCGGCGGGCGCAAGCGTTGCTGACACGTGGGGCCGGAGCGGGCGCCGGCGGAGGAGGGGCTGGGTGTGTGGGTGGGTGTGTCAGTGTGTGGGAAAAACCAACTCGGGCCACTTCGGGGTGTGCATGGTCTTACGCTGCTGGTGGGGCCGGGGACGGAAGGAGGATGAAGGGGAGATGTCACTACCGCCTGCGTTGAGCCAGAGGTAGAAAATAAATTCAAATAGCAGAGGGCTAGGACTACAGCCCTGCACCACCCGCAGCGCCCCGCGCCTCGGTGCTTCCCCCCCACACCCCCCGCCCCGCGCCGTGGTAGCGTCCAGGAAACGTCACCCATTGTTTACAAATCAACCCCAGCCGGCAGGGCTCCGGCTCCCGCGGCTGCCAGCGCGCCGCGCTACCGCCCGGCTGCCCCGGCCTCCGCGTTCCCCCGGCCTCGGCCTCCGCCTCGGCCCCACGCCCGCCTCTGCCGCGGCCCGCCGAACCCGCGGGCAGTCGAGCCGCCAGCGACGCCCTCTGAGCCCCGTGTGCCCGGGCGGGGGGCCATGCCGTGCCGGAGGGAAGAGGAAGAGGAAGCCGGCGAGGAAGCGGAGGGGGAGGAGGAGGAGGAGGAAGACAGCTTCCTCCTGCTGGAGCAGTCGGTGACGCTGGGCGGCTCGGGCGAGGTGGACCGGCTGGTGGTCCAGATCGGCGAGACGCTGCAGCTGGAGCCGGCGCACCACAGCCCGGCCTCCCCGTGCGCGCCCCCGGGGCCTCCGCTGCAGCCCCCGCGGCCGCCCTCGGCAGCGCTGGCGGCGGACAAGGCCGGGCCCCCGGCGGTGCCGCTGCTGCTGGGGCCGGCGTCGGCCGAGACGGGGGCCCCGGCGCCCCCTGGGGCCCTGCGCTGCGCTCTCGGGGACCGAGGCCGCGTGCGGGGCCGGGCGGCGCCCTACTGCGTGGCGGAGCTCGCCGCCGACTCCAGCGCACTTCCCGGGCCGTGCCGGCGAGGATGGCTCCGGGGCGCCGTCGCCTCCCGTCGCCTCCACCAGCGTCGGTGGACCCAAGCTGGGGCGCGCGCGGGCGACGACGACCCGCACCGGCTCCTGCAGCAGCTCGTGCTCTCGGGGAATCTCATCAAGGAGGCGGTGCGCAGGCTCCAGCGAGCGGTCGCTGCGGTTGCAGCCACGAACCCCGCCACCGCCCCCGAGTCGGGGAGCGGCTGCAGCGGAACGGACCCCGTCACCCTGCAGACCTCGGGAACCTGGCTCTGACCCGGGTCCCGGAAGGAGGAAGAGGTCGCCGCTTCACAGACCCAGCAGCATCCGGAAAGGAAGAAGCTATCTCTATTCTGGGGGGCGACAGGCCACACATCAGGGAGGCGAAGTCGTGGGAGAAAACGTCAAAGCGTGGAGGAATGCACCGGTTAGGGTGCTTGCATGCTGCGTGAGAATTTCCCTGGCCACCCAGGACCGAGGACCTGGAATAATAAACTGGGAGAACTATGGCAGCTATTGGATCAACTAGTACCTGAGTTAGCCTTGGGGGCATCCTGTGCTTGGAGTGTTTAAAGCTAGGGCTCGGGAGGGGTGGAAATCGCGAAGGCTAACAATACTTGAAAACTAGTGATACGAATGCCCTTTTCTCATTTTTCCGGTGGAGGAGCTTACTAAAAATGGTGCTAAAAGTGTTGTGCAAAGAAATTGTGGGGTGAGGAATGTAAAAGCTTGGCGGTGGGTGTGTTAGCAACTCCCTCCCCCCCTCTCCCCCTTTCTCCTACTTGGTGGAGGTGGGAGACTGGGACTGGAAGGAGGGTGGAGAATTTGGAAGGTGAGGGGACTTGAGTTGGAATGTGGACTTTCAAATGACTTGACCTTGCTTCCTGTGGTTCAAGGTCAGGTTTGCTGTACGTGGGGAGGCTGTGGGGTTCCAGGGAAGAGCTAACTCACCCAGGGATATTTTCTTACTCTTGCTCCAAGAAAGACCCCTATCTCTTTTGCCACCATTTGGAGTCTCCTAAGGACACTCCAGCAGAGGGACTTGTAGGGCGAGTTACTCGCTTTTTCTGTGCTCTGCTCTCCAGAACTCCTCATGCTGGGCCACTCTTGGCTACACCACCAGCTTTCTCAGAAACCGTCATAAACAATCTCTTTATTTCTGGTGTCTGTGGGGTTGGACGAAAGCCCTGGACTCCTTTCTGCTCTGTTCTGGCCTCGTGGGCCTGAACCTCTGCCCTGCAGTTCCTCACCTGCCAGTTCTCCTTTGTGAGTGAAACTTTTTAAAATGTGACTCTCCGAAAGGAGAAACTGCTGGCTTTACCCTTGTGAAACTTGATGGCACTTTAGTAAGGTGCCCCCCCTCCCCAATTTTAAGGTAGCTAAATGAATTTTTTTTTTTTTTTTTAAGATTCAATGGCTTGTTCATCCTCCAGATGTAGCTATTGACGTACACTTCGCAACGGAGTGTGTGAAATTGTGGTGGTCCTGATTTACAGGATTTCTTAATTAAAATGTCTGCTGAATAAATTTGGTTTTTGTTTTGGAGCATGGTTTGGCTTTCTTATGAAAGGTGGGGGACGTATGGGGGGAAGGAAGAAGCACATCAGGAACAGGACACATCCCTTACAGAGAGGGTGCACCAGGTGTAATGGGCATCTGGGCAGTTGTGGGGGCCAGGGTTACTCATCATCAAATTGCTGTAGAGCTGCAGGGATCGATTGTGCACAGAGTCAGAAAATTAAGTCCAGGCTTTTAGAAGCTGCTAGGTGGGTTCCTTCTGTTTTGGAAAGAACATGTTCCAGGAACACTTTTCTGAACTAGAAAGCAAAGGAAGCACTGGGTTTTTGTCTGGATTTCTGTGAAGAATGGGAAGGCATAGGCAAGCCATTCTGCTTTTTCCTTTGAGATTGACTCAGTCTGAGCTGTGGCCCAGGGAAAAATTTCTCAGCGATTTCTTTGGTTAGATATAAAATGGCTTTTGTCCCTATGCGTTTGTACTGGAGCTTGAACTCTGGGGGCCTCACAGTCGCCATTGGCTTTTTCTCTCAAGGCTGGCACTGTTACCACTTGAGCCACGCCTCTACTTCCGGCTTTATGTTGGTTAATTGGAGATGAGTCTCACAGACTTTTCTTCCCAGGCTGCCTTTAAACTGTTACCTCGGATCTCACCCTCCCAAGTAGAGTAGCTAGGATTACAGGCATGAGCCAATGGTGGTGGGCTTAAAATGATTTTATTTTATTTTTTTATTTTTCCCAGTCCTGGGGCTTGAACTCAGGGCCTATGCATTGTCCCTGAGCTTCTTTTGCTCAAGACTAGCTCTCTTCCTCTTGAACCACAGCGCCTCTTCTGGCCTTTTCTGTCTATGTGGTACTGAGGAACTGAACCTAGGGCTTCCTGCATGCTAGGCAAGCACTCTACCATAAGCCACATTCCCAGCCCCAATGGTTTGATTTTTGAGGAAACAAGAGGATATAACCCCCCCCTTTTTTTTCTTTTTCATGCATTAGTTGTAAAAAAGGAGGGTGCTTCACTTCTACTTTGCCAAACAAGGATACAAGGTATCCCAATCTAATACTCTCTCACACACTCTCTTTTCTTCCCCACACACTCTTCATTATTCTGTTTTCATAATGCCAATCAACTGTTTTCCTAGATTTAACTAAAGGAGGTATCAGCTCATTCTCTCCCTTCAGCTCCAGGGCATAGAGTCCTTTCTGCTTCCTGCCTTGGCTTTTCAACACCTTTGCCATGCAGCCAAACTCTGCTACCCAGCCCCCTGGGGGAGGGGGAATCTTCCATGTTTGGCCCCCTTTCCTTCACTTTGTGACCTACAAACTGAGCTAGTTCTGCTCAGTGACTAGGGTTTGACAGAAACCCTGCTGCTCACATGGACAAGTCACTGCCCTGAACTTTTTCCTTCTGTCATCTATAAGAATAAAGTAGTGGGTGTGTGCATGTTGAATAAGGACCCCAATTGTTTGGGAGACTTAAATACTCAGAACATAGCTGTTAAGTGTTGGCCTCACCATGTGTGGCTTTGTGTGTAATAGGGTAGGCTCTCTATTCCCATTTTGAAAATAACCTTGCTTGAAATTCTTTTTGAGAGCTGGGCGCTGGTGGCTTACGCCTGTAATCCTAGCTACTCAGGAGGCTGAGATCTGAGGATCGCGGTTCAAAGCCAGCCCGGGCAGGAGAGACCGTGAGACTCCTATCTCCAATAAATTGCCAATAAACCGCCAGAAAACCGGAAGTGGCGCTGTAGCTCAAGTGGTAGAGCACTCGCCTTGAGCTGAAGAGCTGAGGGACAGCGCCCAGGCCCAGAGTTCAAGCCCCACGACTGACAAAAAAAAAAAATTCTTTTTGAGGGCTAGTTCTGAGGATTGAACCCAGGGTTTCATTCATGCCAAGCAAACTCTCCATCAGTAAGGTACACCCCCAGCCCTTTTTGTTTTGAAACAATCTTGCTAAGATGCCTAGGTGGCAGTCAAACTTCCTCCTGCCTCAGCCTCCCTAGTAGTGGAGGGTTACAGCTGTTACGAAGCTTTCTTGACACCATTTCACATTTATTCAAGTTCTTACAGTCATCCCCATTCGTGCATTTCTGTTGTGCATTAGCTACATATAGGCAAGGTGCTGGGAATGGTGTGAGACATCCTGAGGTATGTGAGGGAATAGGGGTTCCATACGAAGCATATTTATTGGCAAATGGCTGTCTCCTTTAAAATCTCAGGTCCTCTGTAACATGAGGCCAGGACCAAGAGAGGTCTCCCCTTGCAGTTAATCCTGATGGATCAAGGAAATAGGAATGGTGATGGCAACCAAAGAGAAAAGATCCCCAGGGTCTGAGAAGTAGAGAGAGAAAGAATCAACATTGTCACAGGCTTACCTTGGTGAGCATCTTTTACAATACATAGAGAATGGGTAAGCAGCATCTGAACTCAAGGCTCTTAAGTTGATTCTCATTTCCTGTCTGAACCAATCTACATTTTATTTTTGTCAGTGGTGGGGCCTGAACTCAGGGCCTTGGCACTGTCCCTGAGCTTTTGTTGTTTCTTTTTTTTTTTTTGGTCCGGTCGTGGGGCCTGAACTCTGGGCCTGGGTGCTGTCCCTCAGCTCTTCAGCTCAAGGCTAGCGCTCTACCACTTGAGCCACAACACCACTTCCGGCTTTTTTCTTATGTGGGGCTGAGGAATCGAACCCAGGGCCTCAGGCATGCAAGGCAAGCACTCTACCACTGAGCCACCTTCCCAGCCCCTGTCCCTGAGCTTTTGTGCTCAAGTCTGGTGCTCTACCACTTGATCCACAGTACCATTTCAGTCTCACAGACTTTCCTGCCTGGGCTGGCTTCAAACTACGATCCTCAGATCTGTTTCCTGAGTAGCTAGGATTACAGGCATGAGCAACTGGTGCCTGGCATCGCATCTTTTTTCCCCCCAGTCACTGGGCTTGAACTCAGACTGGGCACTGTTCCTGAGCTCCTTTTGCTCAAGGCTAGCACTCTACCCCTTGAGCCACAGCACTACTTCAGCTTTTTCTGTTTATGTGAGGAATCAACTGAGGAATCAACCCCAGGCTTCATGCATGCTAGGCAAGCACTCTACCAGTAAGCCACATTCCCAGCCCCGACTCCTCCCTTCTCTTTTTCTTAATACAATGTCATTAAAGCATTGAACAGGTTACTGTTTCATAAGTCAGACAATGAGTACCTTTCTTTTTGGACAGTGTCAGCTCTTTCTTCATTTTCCTACCTACATTTGTTTTGGTGAGTGAGTTGACGGGATGAGGCTAAGACATTTTAATTAGATGGTAGCATATAACATTGTACAGGGAGCATGCACAGCCCCAATAGATTTCCTCCAGATTCTAACAAAGTTCTAGAAATAGATTAGCTAATTTAGCCCTCTACTAGTGGCAAGAAGGGAAGTGGCTGGGCACTAGTGGCTCACATCTATAATACTAGCTACTCAGGAGGCTGAGATCTTAGGATTACAGTTCAAAGCCAGCCTGGGCAGGAAAGTCAATGAAACTTATCTCCAATTAATCACACCAAAGCCTGGAATGGCCCTGTAGCTCAAGTGGTAGAGTGCTAGCCTTGATCAAAAAGGAGCTCAGGATGCTGGGCACCGATGGCTCACGCCCGTAATCCTAGGTACTCAGGAGGCTAAGATCTGAGGATGGCAGTTCAAAGCCAGCCTGGGCAGGAAAGTCCGTGAGACTCATCTCCAATAAACCACTAGAAAACCAGAAGTGCGCTGTGGCTCAAGCGGTAGAGCGCTCGCCTTGAGCTGAAGAGCGCAGGGACAACGCTCAGGCCCAGAGTTCAGGCCCCAGACCAAAAAAAAAAAAAAGGAGC